ATAATATTAATTCTCGAATTTAACTCGTATATTGAACAAGAGCAAATACGATTCTTTTACGTTCGGACGCTGGTCGTAATTTGACGGCAATTTGACCGCATTTTGTTTACGACAATATTACGATAATATTAATTCTCGAATTTAAATCGTAAATCAAACAAGGGCAAGTTACGATTCTTTTACGCAAGGACGTTCGTCGTACTTTTCCTGTAATTAGATCGTACTTCAAAATACGATTTTATTACGATTGTCTGCAAGTAAATTACGGTCAAAAGACGATGAAAACGCGATCTAGAGGTCAGTAGTGAACAGCAAACTACAAAATCAACAAACTGTCATTCAAAGTGGCGTGAGAGAAGGCTAGTGACGTGCTAACAGCTGATTGGTTAAATTTAAACTCATGAAATGTTCCTGTCAATCACGATATACAGCGTGGTAGCATTTTGCCGCCTTTTGTTCGCGTGTAGCGCCAGCATTCCCGCCTTCCCGCGTTTTTGCATTTTTCGGTCCGCACCTGTGACCCTGCATTAGAAAAAGAAAACTACTTTCTGTTAAAAGTGAGTATTTCTAAAATACCTTTCGCCATCAAAAATTACTTTGTCTAAATTGCTCTTGCTTTTTTTGTTTCTAATTAAATTAACATGGGTGCATAAAAAAAAAAAACAATCAGAAAAATCAGGTTTGGCATAGAAAATTGAAGGTCGATCATTGATTATTAAAACTGTCTGTCCCGTTTTTAAACTTTTGGGAGTCCATATGATCGTGTGTTTCAGACCTTTTTCCCTGCGATTATTGAAAAGAAACAACAACACTTGGAGTTTACACTGAATGTAAAGCTAGCAAGGGCATTTATTCCACATATGTACCGTTACCACCCTCCCCTCCCCCACCCATTTTGAACCCCCTCTCCAGTAATCTGAAGGAGTTTTTCATTCTATTATATTAGAGAAGTGAATCTTTTTTTTTTGTAATTTGGTTAAGTTTGTGCAGCGACCGCTTGACAAAGAGCTGGCGTAAAAGAGATTTGACTGTATTAAGGTTTTGTTGCTGTACATTCATTGCACCCGCGTAGACTCAACTTGCTGGTGATGAAGTTTTCACCTTTATATTGTTTCTCGTTTTTTCTGGTCACGTTTCAATAAAAAGAAAAAAAGTTTACGCCTGAAAACCTTACATCTAATGTTTGTTGTATGGTCGACATTTCATGTTTCAGGAGCGTAATGGCCATTCCAAGCCTGAACACAAGTGGCCACCAGAGGGCTACTGGAAATTTTGTTACCCTCACCTCTTTCCTGATTCTTCGTCTGGATTAGAGGACGATCAGGAGCAGGTGGGTCATAGAAATAAGTTTAAAAGAAGGCATAGTTTTGACATGAGTTTTGTTTTTGAAATTCATTTCAGTTCGCTCCTTGTAGTTTTGATCAATGCTTTGTATAAGATTCATTAACAAAGGTTATTCTTCAAGTTTCACTGATTGCAAGTGAAGGTCTGTTTTTCTGTTCCTTGATCATTGGACATGTGAATTGCATTCAAAGTAACCGGCACCGTCGTGTCTGTCTCTTCCGGCGTGTTTTATCAGATTAAAAACCCCTCGTTTGGTTTAAATTGTCTTCATGAGGTGTACAACTGAGTTTTCAAGTCTTACTTTATGAATTTGAACGTTATTTTTCTTGATATTCAAGATTTTATTTACATTCTATCAACGCGACACGAACTTAGATGTTGGGTTTTCGTCACGTAGCATGAGGCTTGCCGGTAAAATTAAATTGACTAAAAAGCGTAGCATTAGTTCTTGTTACAATTGATCTGACTAGTCAGTATCAGATCAGGAGTTTGACCTGGTTTGGGACTGAGATTATCTCTCTTTGTGGTCCGTTTTCACAACCGACAGAGCAGATTCTTTTTACTCGACCATCTTATCAGGTCATCACCTCTTGTTCTCTTCTGCTCTTCTATGACCTGTACAGATTCTGGCAGAGACTCACCCCAGTGTTCACGGCTCATCATTCTTGGCTCACGATCCCGACACCGTAGGAACATTCCCAGTGCCTCCCGATCCTACTGGTAAGGTTTCAACTTCCCTATTTTTGATTAGCTTTTTGAACACTTCGCAGCACCAATGCGGCGTTTTACACAAGTCCATTGCGTTCAAACGTCATTTAACTCTCATCTGATCTCATTCATGATTGAATGAACTCATCAGGAGCGGGAGTGTTGCTTCTGGGATCGTAATTTCTACCTTTTACTTTCTACAGCCGGTTTGGTTTTAGCGGAAGCTCCGACTCCTGGACAGCATGGATCCAGCCACGGTCATACATCCTTCAGTGGGTACCTTCCTCGTCATGTTGATCCTCAGCATCACTCCTCCGCTGATATCCACACCCGTCATCACAACACCCCGTCCACCATCTTTACACCTGGAGAGTCCTGGAGATATCCCTACCCCAGTGGATCTGGTCTGTCCACAGTTACACTGGGCGAGTCCCATTTGGAATGTTTGTTCGTTAATGAGGTAATGGATCTGGATTCCGAGAGCCTTTTTTAAATGTTATATTATTAAACAGTGGTTAGGATTTTGTCTTTACTGAGACGCCTTCTAGGTAAGAAAGTTGTTGATAAGTTGAACCTTAAGTCCTTAGCTGTTCTGCAATTATGTATGCAGTGAGAATAGTTAAATTTTGACTACTCAGTTAACCCGTGTAGAACAGTTGTTGTAATATAGAAAAAAAAAAACGACGCCGGAGATTCGCTGAAAAAAAGCATAAAATAATATTGAGGGTTGATTTGAAGAAGGCCCTATTTAGCCGATCACAAAAGAGGAGTCACGGTCGAGCGGAAAGTGCTCCACACTCAGTCCCGGGCTTGGCGCTCCTTCTAGGGCTTGGCGCTCGACTTTGTCTTCTTCCTTAGCGCTCGGCTAAATAGGGAGCTTTTAAAAAGCAACGACGACGGCGACGTCAAGAGAATAGGGACTTTAAGATCCAACGACGCGGACGGCAACGAGAACGTCAAAAAAACAATTGGTTTAATAAGCAAAACAACAACTTCGCACGTGCATCACGCTTTTTTGTACATTTCTTTCCTGTTTTTGCACGACTACGACGTGAAAATGCCTAATTTNGCCACGGTCATACATCCTTCAGTGGGTACCTTCCTCGTCATGTTGATCCTCAGCATCACTCCTCCGCTGATATCCACACCCGTCATCACAACACCCCGTCCACCATCTTTACACCTGGAGAGTCCTGGAGATATCCCTACCCCAGTGGATCTGGTCTGTCCACAGTTACACTGGGCGAGTCCCATTTGGAATGTTTGTTCGTTAATGAGGTAATGGATCTGGATTCCGAGAGCCTTTTTTAAATGTTATATTATTAAACAGTGGTTAGGATTTTGTCTTTACTGAGACGCCTTCTAGGTAAGAAAGTTGTTGATAAGTTGAACCTTAAGTCCTTAGCTGTTCTGCAATTATGTATGCAGTGAGAATAGTTAAATTTTGACTACTCAGTTAACCCGTGTAGAACAGTTGTTGTAATATAGAAAAAAAAAAACGACGCCGGAGATTCGCTGAAAAAAAGCATAAAATAATATTGAGGGTTGATTTGAAGAAGGCCCTATTTAGCCGATCACAAAAGAGGAGTCACGGTCGAGCGGAAAGTGCTCCACACTCAGTCCCGGGCTTGGCGCTCCTTCTAGGGCTTGGCGCTCGACTTTGTCTTCTTCCTTAGCGCTCGGCTAAATAGGGAGCTTTTAAAAAGCAACGACGACGGCGACGTCAAGAGAATAGGGACTTTAAGATCCAACGACGCGGACGGCAACGAGAACGTCAAAAAAACAATTGGTTTAATAAGCAAAACAACAACTTCGCACGTGCATCACGCTTTTTTGTACATTTCTTTCCTGTTTTTGCACGACTACGACGTGAAAATGCCTAATTTTGCGTTTCATGCAGGACGTAAACAAGCGACGATGAAATTTTATTTCTCTTTCTGAGCTTGGATATAGTCACTTGAAATTCAGCTTCAGGAGGGTTCGCCTACATTTGACAAAGTAAGTGGGTAGGAATAATCACTATAAAGACTGAAGGAACGCAAATTCACTTTTTAAGCGACGTTCTCCTTGCCGTCGGGTCGTTGGATCTTAAAGTCCCTAATGGCAATCAAACAACCACTTTGCACGTGCATCACGCTTTTTTGTACATTTTACGTTTGAAGGAAACAGTTATTGCTTGACAATCGTATGAGGTTATCAGCTTGTTTTCTTTCTTGTCTCCTCTCAAATCCACAGACTGCGTCAGCGTTGCAGAGGAACACTCGCCCCAGTACTCACGATTCACCCCTCCCTGTTTACGGTCAAGAAACCGTAAGACCAATTCCATTGCCTCACTATCGTGCTGGTAAGGCTTCCTTTTTTTGTCTACTCCTGTCAAAACTACAACAAAATTCTACAACTGAATAAACACCGTGAAAGATTTAAGCACTAATATGACAATGTTTAAGGACTTCCGGCGCTTGAAGTTCTTATTTTCCCTGTCGAAAAATAGGCAAATCCCAGTTCCCGTTTTTTGCCTTCCAAGGCTTTCTTACTGCCGAAAGTTTGCGTTTTTATTGACCCAGACGAGAGAGGAAGGGTTATTTCATGGTCAAAAGAGATTATTTCTTCTAGCGGGACAACCGTGGGAAATCACGAGCTAGCCAGGATAGGATTCGGTTTATTTTGCCCGCTCGCGAATTCAGTCGTATTACAGAAAGCCCTATAAAATAAAAGTGGGTAATATGGCACCTTTTTCTCTTCTGTAATCATTACTTTTCCAATTGTTTATTTCCTCATGTTTTGTTTCAGCAAAGTATGTAATATTGCATCGTGAAAAGAGGGTTTGTAACATTGGAAAACGACGAAATCTAGTTTATGACTTAGTGGCTTTCGCTGTATCATCATGTTACTTGTGGAATTGTAATTCCTTCTGTTGTTCCCTTTAGCGGAAGTTCCTATTTCTGTGGCGCATCGATTCAGTGAAGACACATCACTGTTCAGCACCCACCATCACAGCGCCCCATCCACCATCTTTACCCCTGGAAGGTCCTTGGGTAGCGAACCGTATCCCGGTGGTTCTGGTATGTCTACCTTCACACATCCGCCTGAAATGCAGGAATTTTGTTCCCCTCATGGAACGTTGAGAAGACCACTGCATGGATTACAACCACAAACTACAATTCCATCGGCGTTTAATCTTAGCGGTTTGGGTGTGTCTACAATCACTCACCCGCTAAGAATCCAAGAAGCGCCAACACCGTCACTCCATGGATTGCAATACCAAAGTACGATCCCAGATGTTCCGAATCTTGGTGGTTATGGTTTATCAACCGACGCCCTCCAACCACAAATCCCAGAATTACGTGCCTCGTATGGAACGCCTAGTCCGTCACTGCATGAATTGCAACCGCACCATACATTTCCAGATGCTTCTTATCTTAGTGGTAGTGGCCTGTCTACAGTTACCCACCCACTAGGTCTCTCCGGACGTTCTTCCCCGTTTGGAACAATAAGACCGCCACAGTATGAGCTGCAACCGCAAAGTGTAATTCCAGGCGATCCGCATCTTAGTGATCCTGCTAGGTCTTCAGTCACACACCCGTCAGTAATCCGTTTTCCCTCGTATGGAACCCCAAGAACCCAACTGTATGGACCGCAGCTGCAAAGTGTAATTCCAGGCGAACCGCATCGTAGGGTTCCCTTTGCGTCTTCCGTCACACAGCGGCCAGTAATTCCCAGAAGTTTTTCTCCGTATGGCACGCTGAGATCACATCCGCCTAGTTCTCAAAGTACAATTTCATTTATGAGCGAGCACGAGCAAAATGCGGACGATGAAACTGATAGGTCTTAAGCAACATTCCTAGTGTATACCTTTTACGACAGTGTTAAATTGTATAAATTTTCAAAGCTATGCCGCATTACAATAGATTTGTAGTGTTGTTATCACTGTAAATAAATTTGAACTGTAAGACACGAAGATATGTGTAATTCTGCTGTGCAATGTGGCAGCAAAAAAGCTCAATCCTTTGGCGTAGATGAGTCAACAATAGAATATCTCGCTAAAATGACGACGGCGATCTCCCCGAGTTTTCCTGAGGGGAGGGGCGTCTGTACAGAGGCTACGCCTCTTGCGGCCCGGGGCGAGGAGAATCAACCATACGACCTTGTACATAAATTCATTACAATCTGTATATAAATTCTCTTTTTCATTGTATTTTAAATATCTGGTGTATTTTATTTTTGGAAATAATTGAGTAAACGTTTTGGACACAGACAAAGAAACTCTAATTTTCCCGTGTTATTTGTACCGTTTTTTTCTCTAACTGTTATCAACGCTATAGGATCATTTCCTTGAAGTGGCCAGAATTAAAAGAGAATTGGCTGCATTTTAGGCTATCAAAATACCTAGCTTTTTTTAAAAAAGTACTCTGTTAATTGGAAATGCACTTTACCTGTCCCGACAAAATAGGAGATTTTGGACAAAAATGACATTAGGGCCATTTATACGAGCATGTCTTATCTAATAAGACGCGTCTTAGCAAAGCCGCCTCTTATTTTAGGCGAAATGTGCCGTTTATACGGAAAGTTCGCGTCTTATGTAAGACGCGTCTTATTTTTCCTCGTATAAATGGCCCTACTATGTTCCCACACAGGATAAGAGTGCCTTGCTTCAGCTTGGAGCTACTTAGACTTTTGTTAACATTTACAAAACTTGTCGTAAGTTAAACTGGTCATTTTTTTCCTTCAGGATAATTATGTCATCTTACTTAATTCGATGAGCAGGGCTATTACTTCCGGTCTTGAACATCGCCAGCGTTAAATAAATGAACCATGGGCTGAGCAGTGGTTAACAAAGCATCCCATTGGGGAGGGGTACTTTATTATATTGCTGCAAGCCCCTAGGCAATTAGCACACTAATCTTTGGGCTTCCTGTGGTTTCTTAGGAGTTCCATCGCAATTTAGGCGATATAATCTGGATTTATGTTTGTCAGGATGATTCTTAGCAAGTATGTCCAGAGGTGTCATCATAACTTTATTTTATATCATACACCCTCATTGCATCATTCTAATTGCACTAAGTTTAGCGCATTATTGTGCATACAAACAGACACAAAGTATTTTTGTATGACTGTAGTAAATTCTGTAAAACCTTGACCTAAATAACCTTAACAAGCGGTTTTTATGTGCATTGATTTGCACTATTAGGGAGGTACAATATTAAAGATTTAGATCAAGGTTTTACAGAGTTAACAGTCATACAAAAATAACTGAAACTGTCTGTTAAAGCAGCACAACAGTGAAGAAACTTATTACTTAAATACTTGCAGTACATATTACAGAAGTTTCACCATCCCTATTTGAAAAATCTACGACTATGTGGCTGACTTTTTGTCGCAGTTGTTTTGTTTGGTATTATTTTCCTCTGTACTTTGTCTATCACTATAATCTTACATATGTTCACAAGACCCAGATTCGAGGGGATATAAAATTTGAACCAAAACATTCATATTTAAGTGTCTGTCCATTATGATTCAAAACCAGTGGTGTTATCAGTGTTACATGTTAAGCAACTTGAAACTAAGACAAATCTAAACTTCTTCCATGGTCAGTTCTTCTGTTATTTCAGGAGTGTCGAAGGTGCTCAAGAGTGACGCGTGGAGGCCAATAATAAAGAATGACGCACCTGATAAAAAAAAAAATGACCTGTCAACCTTTACTATTAGAGGGCATATAATTTATAAAACACAGAATTATTGAATTATGAATTATTTCATATACTTCACATCACAGTTATAACCGTAAATTAAATTCAATGTGTGGCCATTCAAATAAAAGCTACTGAGTAGTACTTTCCTGTGGTACTGTTTACTACACTGTACAGGGCGATTCTAACTTCTGAGTCTGAGAATGGCAAGAACGAATAAAAACTCTTCTGCAGTCCTTGAGCCATGCCCTTGGGGTTGGTCAAGAGATGGCTCAAACTTTAAAGAAGTTAAGAATTCGCCACTTCCAAGTTTCAAAAACCCTCACTTTCAAAATGAAGCCAAGTGCACAATCCTTCTTGCAAAGAGTTTTATTTGCATGAGGTTGAAAAATCATTTTCATATCAAATGCTAAGTACTTAACCTTGTTTTAAAGGGAACCTCCACTTCAACAAAAAGATAACTTTAAATCACAGGAAATAACTGTTACAGTCAAGTCAATCTAAAATATTTTTAAAGAAAGCGTTTGTATCCGAAAGAAATAACTTTTAGATTCGGCTATTTTTGTTTTCAAATTTTGCGGGCGTCCCCATCTTGAATAATTGTGACGTGTTACGGTTGCCCTGTTGTTCTTAAACAAAAGCTCTTTGTGTCAGAACAATAGAGCAACCATAACACGTCACAATTATTCAAGATGGCGGCGCCCGCGAAATTTGAAACTGAAAATAAGCGATTTTAAAATTCACTTTTCCTGATGTAAACGCTTTTTTTAAGGACAAATTTCGCACAAATTTGTTTATCAACATAATTTTATTCGATTTAAACTTATTCTGTAGTAAGAGTGGAGGTTCCCTTTAATACAGCGGCCTGGGGGAACTTGGAGCCTATTACCACATAATATAACTGCCTTTAGTTTAGAAATAAAATTTTACTACAGAGAGAAATATGAAAACTTACAACATTCTTACTCACCTATAATCCAAAACACTGTTGATCCCGCAGAGGCCAAAATAAAGAGAGGAAGGCTGATCAAAATTACAAGACCATACTGCTCCACTCGACTCAATTCACGACCTATAGGGCCACAAAATCGATTACACCAACTACAAAACTTTCATTAAATTATTATATTTCAAAACATGTGTTACTACCTCCCATCAGCCTGACCTCAAGGTATCCCCACACCAGCCCTGGAACACAACCAATCCAGCCATCCCACCCTCCAAATTTTACACCTGAACTTTAACCAAATTTTAGGAATTTCAGAGAAGTTAGAGTTAATTTTTCAGCCTAAAGTTCACAGTAAAGTTCAAACAGAGATGCTTTTTAGTCTGTGAGAGTCGCCGTCCCATACAGAAGAGCAGAAAGGTTACTATATTATCTAAAAAATTGCAAGGTAATTCAGGGGAGTTGCTAAGCGTGTAATAGATAACATCATAAATCACTATTAGCTTCCCACCTAGAACTTGGATCTTTTTTCCTTGGTTTTTATATGATATAAATAAACAGCCACCCCCTGCAACTGATAATGCAATGAGCAGCAATGGAGATGTGAGCCTGCAATAAAAAGAATGATTACAACACATTATTGTGTGGTTCCAACAAATAAGGGTTCCACATGACCTTACAGACAATCATTGTAATTTTCATGGGGAAGGGAGTCTTACTGATCTATTTTTTACAGAGGGGAGGGGTAGATTTAAAGGGAAAAAACTTTCTTTAGGGGGAGTATGGATATTAATTTTTCTGGAACAAAAGGTGGGAAAATGATCTTATGTTTCTTAAGGTGTATGATGGAAAATTCCAAACAAATCTTACAGAGCTAACTTTCTGTTTCACTATACAATAAGCGTAGTTAATATTATCTAAGTTTGGTTAGATGCCGTGTGACAGGATAAGATGATTTCTACTGTGTGACTGGCTCTCATACCTGTTCAAACCACCTAGAGAGAAATTATAAATATCTCCCTAACTTTTGTTTTTAACTCAATATGGTAGGTTATGATTATAAATGGGTGAATGCAAAAAATACCACCCCCTTCCCCCCTTCTTGTGAGGGTGTGCTGCCCGATTATCCACATCCTGACCTTATTTCAGACAAAAAAGTGTCATTTTTCACACCCATTTCTCAGACCTGGACTCTTAGAAATTATGTCATCATTATTTAGATTAGAACTGAACAGCAACAAAAAACATTTCTTAAAATCCATTTCAACTTTTCATAGGTCTCTTCTTTCCTTACTTATTTGAAATTGAGACAATAAATTTGCTCATACACTCTGATCCCATAGTTCCCTTGGAAACCACACCTGATTCCAGACCAAAATGAGCAAAGGCTATAGTAACCTGTTTTTAGACCAAAACAGTGCAAAACCCCTACCCCTTGGGGGGAGGGGGGGGCCACATACCTCTAGCGCTTATATAAGGGAGTACCTCCTTCCAGATAAATCCCTATTATTATGGACTGTGACTGTTAAAGGCATTGACACACAGTCACACATAGTGGAGCATGGCAACAGGGCTGTCACTAAGATTTCAAGTTGCTGGGTATATGAAATTAGCTGGCAGGTAATTGAACAACTAGAAGGTCCTTTTGGTTTTATTTTTCTTTTGTTCCCTATGAAAGTAGCCGGTGGTTATACCCACAGTGGCAGGGAGAGATCCCTGGCCCCCATCACTTAGTGGGATTTATATGACAAACAGAAACCAGGCCCTACTTGACTGTTTAAATGTTGAGCTTAACTGCAGAATACCCGGCCACTTCGAAGCTATACCCCTATAACAGTGGCTATGCGGCTACACAGCTACGTAGTCTCCTATGTAGCCATATACATCTTTATTCTTTAGCCACGCAGACCTCTATAGCTACGTAGCTCTGTAGCCACATAGCTGTGTAGCCAAGTAGCCACATAGCTGTGTAGCCCCGTAGGGTTAGGATTAGGGTTAGGGTTAGCTGCATAGCTGCATAGCCACATAGCCATGTAGCCACTGTTATAGGGGTATAGCTTTGAAGTGATCAGGTATTCTGCAGTTACTCCAAGTGTTGCATAGTACTATACATCTGATAAATCACCATCCAGCGAATAAGTATTCCGGAAGCCAACTGCATTATCCCTTGAATAGACATTTATCCAGTGGATAGCACTATCCATCTTTTAAACAACTAGGTAAGGGCTACTGAAACCTGAATGACAAACTTCTAGTAGGCATGGTAAATTACGTTGCTTGAAAGAATGTGCTGTGCAATTTTTTTAGGAAATAAGTTGAGATCTTCAAGGTAAAGAAGATCAGGATCTTTCTATGACCAGAAAGAAGTTTTTCGTGGCTAAAAAAATTCAAAGGTCAATATCCGAGGGATAACCTTAATAATGTTACTAAATCACCAAAAAAATATTCATGAAACGTTATTTATAATACAATTTGTAAGCTTAGCTTTCATGTACACTTAGCAGACATGCAGTCAGATGAACTAAATGCTCGTCGTTAAATAAGATAATATTTAGTACGTTACATACGACAAATCATACCCAAGGCATACATATAAGATTTTTTCCCGAATTTTCGATCTACCGCCGTTTACACAATGGAAAATTGCCTAAAATCTGTAATATACAATAGCGGAGAACTCTCTGCTTGTTGTAAAATAAAAGACCTCTCGAATATAGACGGTTTCAGGACGTGAAAACGAGATGTTCTTTTTCTTAAAACTGCAAATAGTAGACGATCGAAACATCAACTTACACGCAATAAAAGAACAGGAGTATCGTTATCAGAATGTAGTTGCTCTGGTAGTCTTCCAAGTTCTTCATCACTCTCTTGCCAGCTTCGGCTACAGTTTTTGGCTTGCTGAATCGCGAACTTTTAAAAAACTCTGCCCATGGCTTCATCTGTGTTTTGCGTTTGTACAGCCATTCTTTAGCGAGTTGTACATGAGACGATGGAGTTATTACAGCCGCCATTTCAATATTTTCAGTGATTTCCTCCGTCGCCATAGCTTGTTTTGTAATGTTCTGATACGTCACCAACATACTCTCCCCTCCCCGAACAGTCATGACAATAATTACTAATAGGGGTGCAGTACGCGAAACTGAAAACTTCTCTGGTCCCTGATCCCTCACACAAAATTTTTCAGATTATTTTGCAAGGGATAAGTCAAGTCTTTTTCCAAATAAATATAATACTTCTTGTCCAGAATTTTTTATTTCTTTTTTACAGTAAGAAAAAGTATCACAAAAGCATCACAAAGGTTAATTATTACAATTTTCTCTCAGATTTTATGTGAACTGATTAATTACACTGTTTTCACATAAAAAATTTATTGAATTTTTTCCTTTTATTAACCATTAAGAATCATTCTCACAAATATTTCAAAGCATTCCTCATTAAATCCATGTAATTCAATCTCGTAAGTTGGTGGATCTTTTTTTCTGGTGCCAGGAGTTTCATGAATAACTGCCTTGTTGTACATGAAAAGCCCTGGACTTATCCACACCATATTTTTGATGCCGCTGTCAGAAACAAAGTCTAACGTATTCAGTTGATAAGATAGGAATGACAGTCTGATTCCATCACTAGCAATACACTGTGCTGTTAGGGGCTTTTCTAAAGTGTCTCCAAGTGATGCTCCATTATTTAAAGCTTCTGCTGCAAGCCGTCCAAAGGTAAACATAACACCTGTAGGTTAAACAGTGGTAATAATATTAATAAATGATGGCAGTGATATTAATCAATATTGGCTGCAGTATTATAAAAGATGGTGATAAAATTAACCAATAATGGAAATGACATTTGTCGTCAATCACTTAACATTCATTTAAATACGACTAAATGTTGCTATTTCACGGGCAATTTTCAGCAGGAATTTAAAGCTCAGTTTGACTAGTACCTATATCATTATGGAGTGACAGAGTATCTTAATTTTGAAAGGTAGATTTACAATGTGGTATTTTTGAGGAAAAGCATTAAAATATTGAGCTCTAAAGAGGGAACATAAATGAAGGCAGTCAAAATATTATTTTACCTTCCTCTTATCCCCATTCAGGTATTACTCCTGTAAAATTTTATCCTCTGAACTGTGATTTGCTACAAGTCAATTAATTAAAATAACATACTTTCAAGAATACCCCAGACTAGGTCAGTTTACCTTTTCATGAGTTAATAATTCACAAGGTAGCAATGGTGACATTATTCACTGAAAAACCAGATTTTGACCAGGTACATGGAAAAAGGCTTCAACCCTTTAAGTCTAGATACAAACTCTCCAAACTAATCTCCATCCATTTCCTTAAAATTTAGTTGAAACAATTGAATAGAAGATCAAAGTATTTCCCTCTGGAGATCAATGTTAATTCTATTAAACTTTTCTTTAGATGATGTATTGACATTGACTACAAGTACGAGATTTGACTGAAAGTTTTATTGCGTATTATCAAAAAATAATATACACTCCAGAAAGCTTCATTGTACTTTTGATTCACCAGAAAAGTTAGCACTGTTATCTTTATTAAAGGAAGTTAAGTCCTCTCCCAATCGCGAAATGTTAAAACTTCTAACATTTGATAACTCGTTTCCGCCACTATGACATTCACACTAAATTTTGTGGCAGAATGATCATGGCCGTCACGTTTTCCTGCCAAAATGACGCTGGTTCAAGCACCAGCAATACTCAGTATTGAGAATATCTTGTATTCATAGTGGTTGTTTTCCTCAAATCTTAAGCTCTCTAATCATACAGGATGTAATGTGGCCTCCTCACCTTGCGCTACCAAGTCACTAGTAGTCCACTTCCTGTTTGTACTGACAATAAAAAGCGTATGTGGATATGGAAAGGGAGCACTATCATAGAACCCAGTATCCAGCTTTTGTGTTGTTCTTGCCTTGTTGAGATTAAACACTGGAGAAATTATCTCTGGTTTCTCCAGAGATACTTGTTCAGTTCTCTTCACCGCTGCGGTGTCTTCAACTTGTTTCAGTTGATGTTTCGATGATAACAGAAAACCAAGATTTCCAGAAATCAACAGGTCAGTGTCACCTCTTTTGTATGATATGCTTAAACGGGGCTTGTATGTCAGCGATGTTTCCAAGAGTCTTGGGAAACTGAGGTAACAAAAAGGTTAAGTGTCATGATGATTTTCCAATAATTGCTGTTCTGGGGTGAGACCACCCTCACTTGTGAAATCTACATCTGTCAATACCGTGTATATGTTGCAGCTAATTTTTTATCTCAGGTAAGTTTTGCTTTTCTTTTGTTCATGAAAACAAAGGAAAGACAAAAATTACCTGAGATAAAAAATTAACTACAACATATACTTTTAGTGATGGTTAAATAATAAAAGATAAAAATATATATATACTCATGGTTCACATTACATCACCTGTGGTATGGATTTAATTTTTTGTGCCAGGCTATTTTTCTATTGGTTCTTTTTGCTTCAGTGGTTAACAAATTTAAATAACAAAAACCATGTTTACAAACACCAGCTACTTCTAAAGTATACAGTGTAGTATGTTATAGTCCGAATTCTTCTTGTCTCAATTTTCTAGCCCTTACATCAGTTTAATGGGAGCAACTTCAGAATACCCGGCACTCGTTGGAACACTTAAAAGAACGAGGTAAAAACACGATACTGTCTTTTATTATTCAGCGAGATGCAAATACATGTAAGTGGCCGGGTACTCTGAAGTATTAAGGTAAACATGTGTCTATACCATATGCTTTCTCACCTGCCAGAATAACTCCACATTACCCTTAACATATTCTGCATCAAAGGTAAAGCATTCATATCTCTAGTTGCATGGTCACCTTCATGATTAATCAGCCTTGTCTGAATCACATTTTGTCTGAATTTTGACATCATGTCCTCCCTCGTTGAGAGATCTAAATGAGAACTTTGCAAGCAAGTTGAAATGTCTCCTATTTCTAAGGTCTTTGTGAGGTAAAGTGTTTGATTTTCCGGCTCCAAAGTACGACTTTGAGGATGATAAACATAAGGCTTTGTATTCGCGGAAACACAATAATTTTTCTTTCCGAGAAAATATGGTAAAAGACGGGTTAGTTTTGCACGCATTCGGACGGCAGCCATCTTGAATTCTTCCAGATGGGAGACTGGGTCCCCGTTCCCAGTCTCCTTGTTGTTGCTGGGTTTTGTTGTCTTGGAAACAAGCAATATTTCTTCCCATCCACAACCAATCTTCGCCATTTTGAATTCACTTTCCATCAGAGTAACAGTTGTAATCAGAGCTAGAAGATTGATAAATATGGTAAGTATAAAATACTATTAACCATCATAAGGCTGTTTTCATTCATTGTACATCTGAGAGTCGTCTCGTCTTATCCCCAGAATCTTTGTGATTTTAACTTCAATCAAATTTGTCTGATTTCTCCATAGCCAAACAGCACTGTCGGGTCGGTAGAATCTACCGGGTCAAACGCATCTAGGAAGTCTTGGACGAGACAATATCACACAGTCAATAAGACTTCGACCGTAGTAAGTTGATGAAAACTAACTTACATTTTTAGTATCGCCCGTAACGCCAGTATAACTGCTGCTGATGCTAGTAAGCTACGCTAAAGCACCTAGATAAATTGAAGATGCAGTGAATTTTGTTCCGAAAGGTACTTGAGCGTTTTATTGTAGTTCCTAATTTAGAAGAAATTTTAAACCGGTTACGTTAAGCCTACCTGTTCGGCACTTGATCTCGCATGAAGAACACTTGCTTTCCGAGCGATCTGTGGTTGTAGATTGGGAGAAAAATAAGAACTTCTTATATTATCTTTTAGTTTTCAAGGGTAATCTTAAGTTATCTGTTTACAGGAAAAATTCGTCATTTATTTTCTATGGCCTAATGTCTTGACAGTTTATGACCATATCCTTATGCTTAATTGGTTCTGCATTTTATCCTGCCCTCTAATAAAAAATTGCAAATATCATAGAGAATTTAAAGCATTGTTCTTCCTTAGGATGAATCACTCTTTGCTTCACCAAAGAAGACAAGACCTGGTGAAGAGGATGCTTTTGCTGCAGCATTGTCTGAACGGTCATCGCGTAGACACATTGGTAGGTACATCAGTTTGCTCAATACCGTGGGTACCAGAGACTATTCATGGTTTCCGATTTTCCTGATTCAGTCAAGTCTTTTTACTGACTCTTATGGCTTGGGCCTGTAGCTGACACCAATGGCAAAGAGTCCACTGCATGGGAGAAAAACTCCTGGTACCCAGAGTAATAGCATGGCTCATGTAATGCTAAATTGGACTTGTTGGAAAATATGCATTTAGTTATCTGTCATCATTGGCAGATCTAATATTAATCTTCAAGTAGGAGGGGGGGCGCTGCTATCAAGACCTTGAGAACATAGAGGGTCTCAGCTTTCAAAAAATTTTTGTCAGCCGATGGGCTTCAGTTTGGCCTGAAAATAAAAGTGGGGGCTTAGAAGTGGCTGAGACCCCTAGATCCGACCATCACTTGTGACTCTAGGGACTCTTTCATTTCCTGAACTTCGATGTGGTTCGTAGGAATTCAACTCCAGGACATATGACACTGTGAGTTGGAACAATTGCGACAAAGATAAAAAAATCCAAATTCTTTATTTAAGCAGTATTTTTACCACTGTTGCCATCGTCGGATCTTAATCATGATGCACTCCTTTGATTTGAGGATTTGAGATCTACTTCCTTTGTCACTCTAGAGCTGACAGCTTCAGTTGTAAGATTTTTAGCCTTTTTGTAGCCGCACCCTTCCCCTCCCTAAGAGCAACACCAACACCAGTGGCTATATGTTTGCTTGAAGATTTTGTGGTAATAATCGTACTGCTCTTCTTAAAATTAACTATGGACTGGTCCATGCTTTCAGGAAAAGGATCACCAGCAAAAAAGTCTGATGACCCAGAGACAATTCAAGTTATAACCAAGGATTTAATCAGAAGATTAAGGTAAACTTCTGTTTTACATTGAAAACTCTTAGCCAGGGACCAGGCTCCACAGTGGGGGAAAAAGGCAAAACACGGGGTCAAACAGGAAACATATTGGCAGCGAAGCGATTTTTTTTCGCCGACACCAATTTTTTCTCCTTTTTCTCACAATGCGGAGCCTGGTCCCAGGCTATATAATTCTTTAATTTTGACCCTTTAAGCTCTAATTATTTTATTCAAAGGCATTTTCTCTGTACCTGTCTATATACATTTCCTACACTACAAATAGAAGTGCATAAAATTCTGCAACTAATTTGTATATTTTTGTCCAATCTACAACTATTATTTTAATTTGTTGACAGAGTTCCTCAAGAAGATCCTTCTGGAAGGACTATTATTTTAGAGGCTGGTGAATACCAACGAATTAAGGTGAGGTTGTTATAATGCAGGGCTTCTGATATTTTGCAAGACCGCAGCGCCGCAAAATTCTTGTAAAACTGCGAAATCCCACTAAATTCGCCAGAAATCTTGTCAAATGCATGTTGATACAACATATTTGAAACTTGTCTCGGCTATTGGGGCTGTTTAATTGCCGTAAACTTGCAAAATTATCTTCAAACTTCATCACCACAATGAGCAAACAACATCCCAGAACTATCAAGCATAAATTATGTTGTGAAAACTGGGCAGTAGTGATGATGTTAAAACCTGCTCATTGGCTCATTTCTCAAGCACTTTGTTGTTGAAATAGCAAATAATTATCTTTGTTAAAAAACATTGAACACACTTGTGAAATTAGCGCAAAATCAATTATTGATTTCGTACAAACTTTGCTCTGAAAATTCCCATGAAATCAGCCGTTTTTTAGTGATTGTTTTTCGCCAAAGGTAGCCTTGAAAATTCTGTGAAATTTCAGCAAAATCAGCTGATTTTTCCGCAAATCTGTTGTGTTAATCAGTCTGATCAATAAGAGTATTGTTTGTCATCCTTGGACTCCTTGACAGGACTTTTTTGTGGGAGTTAACTTGGCATTTCAGCCCTCTTTCCCCCAAATAAATAAATGAAAATGAAGTTTTGCTTTTCACCAGTCTGCATCACATGTTCCCACTCAAGAAGAAAGAGACTGGGCTAGGGAAGAAATGAAAAGGAGGAAAGAATATGAACAAAATGCCTCAGAGGAAAGAAAAAATTTTATGCAGACCATGGAGCTGAAAAGAAAAGAGAATGCAAAACCTTCAGATCTGGAGCAGGTAAATTACTGTATAAACTGAAAAATGAAAAACATTAAATTTATAAATTAAAGGGCTGAAAGCAGAACTGTCTTCTGTCAAGTCTTATGTTGATTTTTTTCTGGCCAGAATTGCCTCAATCTTCATATGTGACCTAAATTGATTCCTAAGGAAAACTTTGCTGTGTATTTTTTTGCGCTATTTCTTACTAATTTTTGTACAAATTACTTATGCAAAAAATGCTTTGGGTCCTTTAGTTTGAAACAGAAACAAAAGAAATCAGAATCAGAAAGTTCCTTGTTTTGCTAAATCAACTAAAAACATCCTTAGATTAGATTCAACTGACATTTATTTTTTCATCAACACACAGTCTAATATACAGTGAAACCTTGATTTAACAAACCTCTAATAACCAAGTCCTCGATGTAATGAACGATTTTCTTTACCCCAATAATACTAAAATAATTTAATATATAAAAAGGAACCGTATTCAGATGTTCGACTAATGCTTTTTCAGATTTTTAAGGACGTTTTATCTTTACAGACCAATGGCAATTGTAGTTTTGATGAGGGAATTTTCATCTGAGTTTTGATTATTGTAAATGGCTATACTTTCTAGGAAGCAAAGAAACAGAGTGGCACTTTACTGGAAAATGCGCAAGAACAGATGGAAGAACAGGAGGATGAAATTAAGAAGCTTAATGAGGTAGCCTCAGTTGTCTTAACAGGGTTATTAGGCTGATTTAGCAACAGAATGGAAATGTTAGTTGACGACAGCGCGCGCAAATCAAACAACTGGCTTGACCAATGGCAGAGCGGCAAATTGGGCACCGGAAGTCGTGTTTAGACCTTTCCGCGCGCTTTCCCGTTGTCAACTGACATTCCCGTCCTGTTGCTAAATCAGCCTAATCTTTATCAAGTATACTTGAAAAAAGTAAATTAAACTGTCTAAGTGTATTTAACAAAGCAAGTACTACTGCTTGTGGTTGAAGTCTAAACTTTTGAACATTTCAGATCGTCTTTTCTATTGATTTCTATATGGGCATAGACTGTGGTCTTCATGGTCACTTTGTTTTTACCATAACTCTCTTTTTGTAACTACTGACCACAGGATAATGTAAAGACTCTTAAGAAATAATTTAATAACTTTCAGAGCATTTTCTGTTTCCGTTGCAGCTCATACTAAATGCCAAGTGTCATGCCATCCGTGATGCACAGCTCATAGAAAAGGTTGAGATCAAGAAAGAACAACTAGAGGAGGAAAAACGACTTGACGAGATGATGGAAGTGGAGAGACTTAACGCGCTGAAAGAGTATGAGGAGAGAGAGAAAGCAGCACACTTTGAAAGACTCAAAGGAGCGCAAGTGCTGCAGCAACAGATAACTGATAGGGAACAGTCACGATTGCTGGATGAAGAGAAAAAAGACCAAGAAACAAAGGTTGGTACATCTAACTGGTTCCTTAATGTACAAATTCTCACTCTTTTTTTTTTAATTTCATGCCTTCCTCCCTTTAGCCTTTTTTTGATCACAAAATGTTAATCATTATTGTGCAATTTCCCCTACTTCTCCCACTTCCCACTCTTTTAGAATTCCCGCCTCCCATCCTTTTCTCTTCTGCCTCCCGTACCCCTTCCTCCCCCTATTTACCCTTTCTCATACCCCCTGTCCTTCCCCACTCAGAAGGTGTTAATTTGAACCCTCACCCTATCCCTGGGAAAATTTCAGTTTAGCTACATACTTTCCGTTAAAATTTTTTACCCGTAGGATCCCCCCCCCCCCACCCCCATTGAAATTTTGGATCAATAGGCCATTTTACAGTTATGGATGGAAGCGAGGCTGACAGTGACCTTGTTTTGATACAAACCTTCCTGCTTTACTATGTAAATCAAGTTATTCTTATGCTAACTAGTATTTTTCAAGGGCAATTTCCATAACAAAGCAAAGGAGGTTTCTATCAAAACAAGGTCACAGTCAGTCTCACGTTCACGCGAAGGTTAGGGTACTAAGTCCACAACTGTAAAATGGTCAATTTAGGTTTCTGGGAAACTGCCCACCTACACCTCCCCTAAGCCATCATTTTACCCTAAGCGAGAAGTAAGTGTTAATGTTAGCTTGGGGGAAGGGGTAGGTGGGCAGTTTCCCGGAAACCTAAATTGATCCGAAATTTCTAGTAACCTGTCATGGGGTGGGTGTGGGTATTTTCTGGAACCACCCAACATAGTGATGCTAGTATTTCATGGGGGAAAATGAAAAAAAAAGAAATCATTCTTTATGATTTGCTGTGGAAATTTAAGGTTGCATACTAGATTTCTTTTTTTCTTTTAGGTGATGTTACAATACCTTGATAAGCTGCAAAAAGAAGATATGGAAAATTTGGTCAAAAAGCGAGAAATACAAAGAGCATTGATGAAAGATGTGGCCAAGGCAAACGAGGTGAGCTTTTTAAACACTTCATAAATTCCAATGGTCGTGAATATTATTGTTTGATCGCCTGAAGAGAGCACCAACAACAAAGCATTTCAACACGCCAATTCTTGAGCAACAGGACAACAGGGCTTTTCAGTTGTGCAGTTTGAATGCAAGATCATTAAGAAATAAATCAACGGCTTTTGTGGAGTTGGTATGTGATTTGAAGGCTGAGTTGTTTACGATATGCAAGTCCTGGCTCCATGATCTCTGTTCTAGTCCAAGTTTATCAAATCTAGGGCAGGTATAGTCATAAATGAATGTATCAATAACCAGTGAAGGTTGTTGGAAAAAATGCTCACAACAATCCCGAAAGGTATTGTGGGTGGTTTTGAGGTCACTGTTCTCCAAAGAAATTTGGAAGAACGGCATGAGAGTCCATGGACATACGTTTGTGAGTGCTAAAGGAAAGCACCAAACGTAAGTTTGACAGCTGCAGTGTCAGGAACGGTGTACTGATCATAGCTCATATAACCCGCGGGATTGTTGCGTGCACATTTTCATTGACAACCTTTCTCGAAATAACTGTACGTGTGTTTCTTGGCTCAACTATGTAAATATCAATTTTTGCTCGTAAATGGCTCAAATTTTAGCCCATTTTATGATGTTCTGTTTACCCGATGGAAACCCTCGGAACGGGGTACTTTGAAGTTAAAATGATGGGGACGATACAAGGATGCCCCCCCACCCCCGGGTCTCATAAGTGGGACCTTAAGCTGACGTCAAAAAATGGCAACCGGAAGTAGATATTATATCTCTTTCACTGCTCTGACTTGACAAATTCATACAGCGGGAGTTAAAACAAATGCATTCAGATTCTTTGTGTGTGACAAAAGTGTACCATCAAGCGAGACATCGAATTTCCGGTTACTATTCATGCTGTCCCGGACGTAGTGTTCTCGTTGCTTAAGCTCACTAGTAGCCTGCGCCGCACTCTCAGATGGTAGGCCAGCGCAAAACGATGCGCTAACTTGAGTACCAGGCCACGTTTCTGGGATGGGGAAAATCTCTTCTCCCACTACCCCTAAGGAGGGCTTGATCAACTTCAGGCTAATGACGCGCGTGATCTGGGGAAGAGGGCGACCACCTCAGGACTGATAGTTTTAATTGTTATTTCATCTCCTAAGCTTCTATATCTGCTACTGGTAGTTTAGCTGAGCCTACAAAATGGAAGATGAACGCTGGGTACCTTTTAGTAATTTCTGTTAAAAAAATTTGTTATCTTTAATACCCAGGAAATCAAATTTCTGAGAGAACGTAAAACAGAGCAGGAAAAGTTAGAGGAAATTAAAGTCATGGAGTTTTTGAAGCAAAAAGCGGTATGTAAAAACTTTGAAGATTTGATTATTATCTTCAGATTATTTTGCAAGTAATAACTTCACTAAAAACTTTAAACAGAGCAGGAAAAGTTAGAGGAAATTAAAGTCATGGAGTTTTTGAAGCAAAAAGCGGTATGTAAAAACTTTGAAGATTTGATTATTATCTTCAGATTATTTTGCAAGTAATAACTTCACTAAAAACTTTCAGGATAGTCACGAACGAAATTTAACAAAAAATTTTTTTCGTTTTAGGAAAGAGAAGAAGCTTATCAGCGTGAAGTGGAAGCTGCCAGAATCGAGAAGGAAAAAGAAATAGCTCGTCTTCGTGCACAACAAGAAAGAGCAAAAGATAAGCAAGCCGAGAAGGTAACTTGCACTGTTAATCTTGAAGAAAACCGCAGCAAAAACGGCATAAAAATTCGACAAAAACAACAACGACAACAATGTATTTATTTAAAGAAATATAAAGTTTACAATACTTTGTCCTGCAAATAGCTATAATGCTAATCTAGGCAGGAAAAGACTTTAAATAAAGACGTTATTAAATTACATAAGAAAAAAGAAAAGAAAAGAAATACAATAACATACAGAAAGAAACACCTTACATATAAATTCAAGCACAGGGGATTTTGTTATTTGAAAAAGACTAAAATTATAACTGGAGGTATATACAACATATCAGGTTAACTGAATTGCCAAACATGTCAAGTACTATAGCTCGAGAAACTAAACTCGCGGATCGCGGATAGGGGTTTGTTTCCGACTTCAGCGTTACAGACGTCGACGTATGAACAAATACTTAGAACAGTTTCGCCATCCTTTTCAAGTTCTTTTTAACGCCATTGTACTTAAACTTTTAAAACTCTCTGGGCTGCGGAAAGTTCGTTGAGCATAATTTTATCAACAACACTCACGAACACTCAATATACAGGTGCACTTTAATTCAATTTAGTTGAATATCTTAGTATAAAGAGAATACTTTCGCTGTTTCTTTCTTTCCGGTGTTATTTTTACGAGATCTAATTTTCGCGAATCGTTAGAAAATCCGCGAAATTTCGTGCTTCCTTCGTTGAACCCAGCCGGAGGAAGATTTCTGAACGGAATTTAAAAATATAAAACATCTTTTTGAAAAGTCTGGAATGGATTTGACTCTTTAGGATGCCTTAAGAGCAAAGCGAAATCAAGAAGAGGCTGAACGAGAGTGGAGAAGAAAAGAAAAAGAAGAAGCCGAGAAAAAGTGAGCTATTGTTCTGTTTGTTGCTTATTTGTTTACGATTTTCTGATTTTCTGCCTTTCGAGTTGGGCTTGCATCTCGGATTTCTTGTTCCGCGCGAGAAGTTAGCCCGCGCACAAACCTCTTTTGCTTACTCCCCCACAAGCGTAACCTGTTCCAGGCTCCGAAATAGTCGGGTCCTCTGAATTTAGAAAGCGCGAACATGAAAAAGGGGAGGAAACTAAGGAGAGGAAGGGCGGCGCTTAAGATGGTCGTAAAAGAAATGCTTACAGGCTCTCTATCCCTTCCTTTTTCCCGCCCCGCCAACTTTTCGCGCGCCTTTCACTTTTGCGTCTTCTCCACTATATGAGAGCCTGGAACAGGCTTCCACAAGCGAGTCTGCTGACACGCTGCCATGATTTTTTTTCACTCCCGCAAGGGGGTTTTTCAAGGAATTGAGCAGCAATGTTGCAAACAAATTTAATTTGTCACGCATGTTCTGACAATCTTATTTACGGCTTTGCCAAGAAACCAAATAAGATGTCCTCGCGGATCTGCGCGACTCTCACCTTACGCGCACGTTGCGCCGTCTCGCGTTGTCCATATCACGCGATCGACAAGCCTCTCGAAGTGTATATGTAAATTGGGCTTTAAACTTATTTTTCCTTAAACGAGTTCTTAAAACCAAAGAATTGTTTTTTTTGTATATATTCCTTGACTTGTTTAGCTTTTTATGCTGATGCAATGTTCCCGTTTTTCGCAGGAGAGCGACCGAGGAAATGTTGCGAAAGGCTCGCGAGGATCAAGTCAGAAACAAAGAACATTTCCTAGCAGTACAGGCTGGAAGAGACCGGGCTGAATTTGAACGAGTTTTAATGTAAGTTAGGTTTTTAAAAGAGTTATAAAAGACAAAGAACAGTAAATAACAGTGTAATGACAGTATACAAGACAGGATAAACTCTATCCTCTTTTGCTGTATATAACTTCACCTAGAACTCTATTTAGAAAACGAACAACGATGAGGGCAATAAAGAATTAAAACGCGCCAGAACGCGATAAGCGCGCTCGGAAGTAGGAATATTAAAGTAAAAGGCATTCTTTTCTGTGCGCGGATGATCTTAAGAGCGTGGGAAGAAAAAACTCTCTCTCGACAATTGGCATATTTGTTAGTTTTGGGTATCCTGTGAACAGGATCTCTGTTTGGGGAAAGGTGAGGGTTTTCAGAAACCTTCTTGATGGGGCGCACTCATTTCCTTTTGATATTGATAAAGTAATCCTTACGAAACTATGTGGGACGGTTTGGAGAATATGCCAGTTGATAAATGCTTAGTGGGTTGATTGAGGGTGTATTGATCATTAAACAAATTCTCCTCATTGGCACAATAAGAATTGTATGAAGAGTGGTTTGTAGAATCTGATTGTTAAGGTCTAAGGTTTAATTTGCTTTTTACAGAGCGCAAGAAGAGCAGATGTTAAAAGACGAAGAAGCTGATAAAATCCAGAGCATCCGTCGCCATCAGCACTCGGAAGAAGTTCGTCAACAAATACGGGAAAAAGAGAAAGATAGAATCCATGCCAGGAATGCTTTCTTCGAGGAAGGAATCAAGCTGGATCAAGAAGCAAAAGCTCGGTGAGTCTTGCCTTGCCTCGTTCCCATGCGGCGTCTTCCCAGGCTTCCTCGGTCGAAACGCGTGGACCGCGCGGAATAATGAGGCCTAGGGACTAGGCAAAGTCTTCCTAACCCTTTAGTTTCCAAGAATGGCCAACACCCATTTTCTCCTTGCATTATCAGTAGATAATCAAAAAGAAAAGGTTGTGAGAATTAACATCATGATAATCAAAGGAAAAAGTCTGAAATCTTTTATCAAATGTATGACATTGTATGACATCGTAGCAAAGAAATCGTCGGGAAGGTGACTTCTTCTCGCGCTTGACTCATGCTCTATCTTAGTGTGTGTTGGGCGGGGGAGGGGCCGGGGAATGAGAGCCTCAACAGGGAGGCTAGCCCACTAAAGGGTACCTTTTTTAGGCGTCATAGATATAAAAGCCAAGGGATTTCACTTGTTGACAAATTTATTATAGTATAAAGGATATAAAAGGTCTGTTAAAGGACCTAAAACGGGCCAGCAGACCCAATTTATGGCTTTGAAAAAATTAACAAAACCTCGTTCATGGTTTAGTAGTTTATTCTTACTGGGTAGGAGCTGCTCGTAAGGTGTTTCCTCATTGGTCGCAGAAAACGATGTCACATCATTGTTTATCATTATTTCCCATTGTTTAGCCGTTAGGGTATCGAACCAATGAGCTTTTAGGGTTAGGAGAGCTGCTACATCTGTCTTAACATCTGTCTGGGCATTTACATGTACAGCAGTTAAAAGAGATGCAGCGTTCTAACTTGAATGGTATCATTTTTCAATAAAAGATATACGAAAGGGGTATGTACCTCTCCTGTCAAAAATGGTGTATAAAAGGGTAAGGGGTTGGACCTTGGGATGGAACATCCCGTAGAAAACTTCGTTGAGTAGTCCCCGAGTGGGCGAGGGGGGGCTACACTTCACTTGGTTCACTTTGTCAACTTGTTTCATTGATCATCTGATAAGTGTTCGGAAAAACATTATAAAACATATGATCAGCATCGCAGGTTATATAATTTAACAAATCACAGTCATTGATAGGCTTTAAATTCTCTTTTAGGCGACAAAAATTAGATGACATTAAAAGAAGAAAACTGCAAGAACTGAGAGACGCCGGTGTCCCTGACAAGTACTGTAACGAGGTTGCGCGACGAATCGAGGC